CCACTTTTTATGATGTCAAGGTTCAAATAAACCAAAATCAAGCCCGGTCAGTTTGTGCGCCATTATTGTGTTTGTGTCTGTGTGTGGTTTAGGAGGTGATACGGTCTCTGCAGCACGCCCAGCAGCTGTTGCTGAGTCAGACGCAGACAGTGAGGAGAGTAGAGTTGGAGCTACAGACACAAAGACAGACGTACGAGGTCAGAGTATTTCATCCTGTACTATTTTGTGGATGTAACTCTTCACATGTATACATGTTAGCCAAGACTTCCCTCTTGCCATGCCTTGGTAGCCTTTTTCTGAATTGGCTTCACTTACAATTGCTGTCATTCACCTGTATTCTGCACTAAATTCCTACCAAAGTTCCTTATCTTCATGTAATGATAAGATGGAGAAAAAGTTTCTAGGTGTTCTGGACAGTTTCAGTTTGATGTGTTCTTCAGTTCCTCCTGCACACAAAACTCTCATTCAGCTTTATTATTATTTTCAAGGGCAACTGTTTTTTGTCTGTTTGCTTTGAGCATCTCATTGCAGTTGTGTGTGATCTGTCTGTAGTGTCTCTGCAGACCTAAATTACAATCCCCGATGATGAAACACATGTGAAGTTTGCTTTAACAGATCAAAAGAGAGAAAACAGCTAATATGCGTATCTGTGTGCCCGGCTTGAAATCACCTCCACCAAGGAGTTTCTGGTTTGAAGGCATTTGTGTGCATGTCATTCTGTCTGTAGCTTGAAAACTTTAGAATGAATTCTGGTGAAACTCTGTTGGGGTGTAGAGTGGAGTTTACACCCCATTAAAATTAGGCTGACATCCATCGAGATCTTCAAAGTCAATGAATTATTGGTCAAAAGTTGATGATGAACCTTATAACCTAGAAACTATGCTTCTCACAAGTGTGGTGTGTATTGTCAACATATACAAAGTACTGTATAAAGTATAAATATTTCAAATATGTCACATTTGACCTCTCACTTCTGCTTTAAGGTCAATAGACTGATCTGAAGATCAGAGAGATAATAGTGATACTTAAAACTACGTTTATTACTGCCATTGTTTGTTTTGACAACATTTAGGCATATAGGGAATGATATGTGATATATATTGACGTATCGGGATTCTAAACTTTCATAAATTGTCTTTTGTATTTAGAACTAATTAAAATTCCATCGCCTTTGTTTGTTTTTTGCAACATTTACAAAGTTATCCTCGATCGTGGGGATTATAAATTTTACATTGTAGTTTGGATCCAAATATCATGTCACATTTGACCTCTGATCTTTTATATTTTTTTCAAGGTGACCCCAAAATGTTTATCTTTAACTCTTTACCCCCTGAAAGCTGTCTGGGAGCAATTCTTGAAGCTGTTTTCTGTTGTATTTGGCCTGCTTATAGAACAAAATGACCGGGCTTTGCCACAGAAGTTAGGGAGGGTGATCTCTGCCTCTACGACTTGATTAGCGTGTTTTGGGGTTTAAAAGCCACAGAAACCCGGTGTTTAGAAAAAATGCATCTCAACTGCTCCAATACTCCTGACGCATATGGGATCACTACAGGTTTTCGCTTGGGCAGCGGTTGTCCTTCTCTCCTGGATTGGCCGGAGCTTTCTTTAGGTGCTTTTCCCGCTTTGACAAAAGTCCAGCTGGGATAACCACATTTACTCAGGGCCTTCTT